ACATGAGATAGTGGTGCGCACCAACGGCTGTACCTGAGCAATCCGGATTCCGCTCACGCATCCTGAATCGGCCACTCGATGTGAAGCTCCAACTAGTTTGCACAAGACGCTGAAGGCAAGCACATGAGATAGTGGTGCGCACCAACGGCTGTACCTGAGCAATCCGAATTCCGCTCACGTATCCTGACGGATTGACCAATTACCGCCTAAACCATTTCGGAAGAGTATTCAACTTTAATATCAATCAAAGTGACTAGCTTCATCGCCCGATTAGTTCAGCTGGATAGAATGTCTGCCTACGGAGCAGATGGTCGTAGGTTCGAATCCTGCATCGGGTATACATTAACTTCACTTCCTCTTCATCCATCCTACGTCAACGAAATCGGGCATCCGATGTGAAGCTCCACCTAGTTTGCACAAGACGCTGAAGGCAAGCACATGAGATAGTGGTGCGCACCAACGGCTGTACCTGAGCAATCCGGATTCCGCTCACGCATCTTGAATCGGCCACTCGATGTGAAGCTCCAACTAGTTTGCACAAGACGCTGAAGGCAAGCACGTGAGATAGTGGTGCGCACCAACGGCTGTACCTGAGCAATCCGAATTCCGCTCACGCATCCTGAATCGGCCACTCGATGTGAAGCTCCAACTAGTTTGCACAAGACGCTGAAGGCAAGCACATGAGATAGTGGTGCGCACCAACGGCTGTACCTGAGCAATCCGAATTCCGCTCACGTATCCTGACGGATTGACCAATTACCGCCTAAACTATTTCGGAAGAGTATTCAACTTTAATATCAATCAAAGTGACTAGCTTCATCGCCCGATTAGTTCAGCTGGATAGAATGTCTGCCTACGGAGCAGATGGTCGTAGGTTCGAATCCTGCATCGGGTATACATTAACCTCACTTCCTCTTCATCCATCCTACGTCAACGAAATCGGGCATCCGATGTGAAGCTCCACCTAGTTTGCACAAGACGCTGAAGGCAAGCACATGAGATAGTGGTGCGCACCAACGGCTGTACCTGAGCAATCCGAATTCCGCTCACGTATCCTGACGGATTGACCAATTACCGCCTAAACCATTTCGGGAGAGTATTCAACTTTAATATCAATCAAAGTGACTAGCTTCATCGCCCGATTAGTTCAGCTGGATAGAATGTCTGCCTACGGAACAGATGGTCGTAGGTTCGGATCCTGTATCGGGTATACATTAATCTCACTTCCTCTTCATCCATCCTACGTCAACGAAATCGGGCATCCGATGTGAAGCTCCACCTAGTTTGCACAAGACGCTGAAGTCAAGCACATAAGATAGTGGTGCGCACCAACGGCTGTACCTGAGAAATCCGGATCCCGCTCACGCATCCTGAATCGGCCACTCGATGTGAAGCTCCACCTAGTTTACACAAGACGCTGAAGACAAGCACATGAGATAGTGGTGCGCACCAACGGCTGTACCTGAGCAATCCGAATTCCGCTCACGTATCCTGACGGATTGACCAATTACCGCCTAAACCATTTCGGAAGAGTATTCAACTTTAATATCAATCAAAGTGGCTAGCTTCATCGCCCGATTAGTTCAGTTGGATAGAATGTCTGCCTACGGAGCAGATGGTCGTAGGTTCGAATCCTGTATCGGGTATACATTAACCTCACTTCCTGTTCATCCATCCTACGCCAACGGAATCGGGCATCCGATGTGAAGCTCCACCTAGTTTGCACAAGACGCTGAAGGCAAGCACATGAGATAGTGGTGCGCACCAACGGCTGTACCTGAGCAATCCGGATTCCGCTCACGCATCCTGAATTGGCCACTCGATGTGAAGCTCCAACTAGTTTGCAGAAGACGCTGAAGGCAAGCACATGAGATAGTGGTGCGCACCAACGGCTGTACCTGAGCAATCCGGATTCCGCTCACGCATCCTGAATCGGCCACTCGATGTGAAGCTCCAACTAGTTTGCACAAGACGCTGAAGGCAAGCACATGAGTGTGATACATATACGGGCACTTGATATAGCGCACGCCCGTATAATCGATCACTACTTGGTAATCTGACTATTGATGACAATTGTGTTACGCTGTGCAGCTATCTTAGCTCCAGCTTATGGTTTTCCTCTTACTCTTGTATGTTCTATTCTCTTCCCATCTACCTGATATCGAGTTCAAGTACAACATGGTGCCCAGACCAGATGATCTTGACGACGAGGAGTATAATTATGTGATTGCGGCCCTCCAAGACAATGAACAAGAGCAACACCAAGATCGAGAAGAAGACGCCGAAGTAGACCACCAAGAAGACCAAGGAGAAGATGGGGTTGAGCGTAACCTGAACGGCACTGAAGAGGTCGAGACCGACAATAAGAAACTGCCTAAAGAAGATGGTGGCACTACTGGGAAGACTACGGTATCCAAGAATGGAAAAGATGGTGTGGTTATGCGTGGAACACTAAAAAATTATAATATTATGGCGTCCCCATTCTCTGGTGGAAAAGAAGGAGAAGATGTTGTTCAATGGTTACAGAAGTTCGAAGAGTGTCTAGATATGTTATCACAATTCCTACCAACTAAAAAACGGTTCCCTCTACTCAAGTTTAACTTGAAAGGTCCAGCCTACAACACTGTCATCGCCAATGTCCGTACTGATGCTCCTGGTTCTGATGATACTACCTTATACAATCAAGCAAAGAAGATTCTACTGGATCGCTTCGGTCCATGCACTTTCACAGCATGGCGTAAGTTAACTACAAGGACAATGAAGGAGAATGAGTCAGCCGGAGAGTATTTAACGGAGTTACAGAGGTTGGCATCGGCAGCTATACCATCTACAGTACGTAAGGAGAGAACTTGGGTCAATGTATGTGCATGTTTGCAATTCTGGAACGGTGTACCCCAAGACATCCCCGGGCTCTCTGCAATAAAAGCCCAATGGCGAGAGATATGGCAGAATCATAAAGATATAGTTCAAGGGTGCTTAACCCTTGCTGAAGGGTTTTCGGTGAATCCTGATAAGAGTGGTGATTCCATAGCTGCCATGACCTACGGTTATAGAGCCAGCACTGGTAAAGGAGCCAAAGGCTATAAAGGCAAAGGCAAGGGTAGAGGTGCCAAAGGATATAAGGGCAAAGGCGGCTGGCAGAGCTGGTATGGAAAAGGAAAAGGTCTCCGTTATAAGACCGTTGTGAGAACTATTAATAAAGATGGAGTTAGATGTTATACGTGTAATGGGCGAGGACATACATCTTCTCAATGCCCATCAAATCCAGCTAATATAGCGGATAACACTCCAGTAATAACGGGGAAACTGTGTGAGAATGAGAGCCGATATCTCTCCGTTTTGCTCAGGTGCAGCGATAAGGTTACTCGGAATGGCAAAAGTGATGTCTTTGCAGCCATGATCGATACAGGCAGCACAATATCTGTCATAAGTAAGACGCTTTTCTCGTATATCATTAATTCTGATGATTGGCAGTTGAGCGAGGTTCAACGACAACAGGTTGAAATTGAGGCAAAACGTGTGCAGATTAGTACGCTCACAGGAGCGATAAGTGCTTTCAAGCTGCCTTATACTGTCCCCATAAATATAGAATTGTGTGGTGTTCAAGTTAAGCCTTGGGTATTGGAACAAGAAGTCATATTAAAAATCAACGGAAACAATATACACGCCCTATACGGAATGGATTGGATCAGAGCGTGTGGACGGCTAACACTGAATGTTAGAAATAACAAGGTAAGAATTCACTCAACGATGGAATGCCTAGTAATGGACAAAAAAGGAATTAAAGACAGTAATGTCTTAAATGACAAGCAGGAAAAAATAGTAGAAAGTAATAATGAAATTAGTAAGAAGCGTAAGTGTGAATACTTAAAACCAGGAGAACAGAATAACTGCGTCACGGAGACGAAAGATAGAAATGAAGTTCGAATAGTAGAAAAAGATTTGATACTAACAAGAAAAGCAGATCCGACCAAAAAACATAAATACTATTGGGAAGTTGAGTGGATATGGAAAGACAAACCGAAAGAAGTACTATATAGACCACCTCATTATGAAGAAGTTATGAATAAATTAAGTCCCAAAGAACTACAATTATTCCACGAGTCTATTGATGATATGATCCAGAGAGGGTATTTCGTTCCCGTTCCTAAAAGTCGCGTTAAGGCATACTTAACAACAATGCCGGTGATTTCTCTGGGACGTACAACTCCAGTTAGAGTTGTACTAGACTATAAGGGTTTAAACTCTCGAATAGAGAGCATGCCAAACTCCAATGGCGAACCATTGAATTGCCAACGAATGATTCGTATATGGCGCACTCTAGACTTGAACCAAACACTAGCAATAGACATAAAGCATGCGTATATGATGATGCGGGTAAAAGAAGAACAACAATACTATCAATGCGTACGTTTCCCGCACATGAAAGCAGGTGAAGACACATTTGCCATGACCAGAGCAGGTTTTGGTTGTAATATAAGCGGTAAGGCTTTAGACAAAACAATTGATAAGATACTAGAAAACACAC